GTGCTACTAAGAGTGGAAGCGATCCTACTAGTGTATAAAATAAGAAATAAACTCCTGCATTAAGTCGTTCAGTTTGATTACCCCACTGGGTAATGACAAGTGTCGGGACTAGTGTTGCTTCAAATAAAATATAAAATAAGATTAATTCTATGGCAGTGAGTGTTATAATTAGGAATATTTGTAATATAGCATGGTAATATATAATTTTTTGAGTTAATGATTGAATAGGTGAACTTGGCTGGCTATTAGTATTAACAGAAAGAATCATGTTAAAATTAATAATGGTGCTGATAAGGAGTTGGAAAAAAATTAGTGAAAAGTTGAGGCTATTGTCATTAAATTGATTAAGAAGAAAAGACTCATGAGACTAATTAATAAGCTGTGGACTGTGGTATTAATTCAGATTATGCTGTTCTTTGATAGTCATGTTAGTGGTGTTAGTATAATTGTAGGAATAATAATTTTTAACATTGGAGGAGATTAAGATTTTGTACATAATCAGTGCCATATATGTTTGATACTATTACTAGTAAGGGCAGTCCGAGTGCGGCTTTGAAAGCTGTGAATACTAGCAGAACAATTGGCATTATGCTGGCTAGGGTAGAATGTGTATTTAGAATGATCAGGGTTGCTATAATGAATAGTGATAGTACTATGCCTTACAGGCACAATAGTGAAGATATTAGGTGAGATCGATATATTAATAATCCTACAAGAGATACTGTGAATGCTATAATAATATTTATATATACTAAAGGCACTTGGTAATGAACTTAATCGTAATCTAACAAGTCAAAATAATTTATTTTAGTTTAAACTGACTACCATATTCAGTTCATTCTAGTCCTTTTTGGTTAGGCTAGGCTGTTGCTTATAATAAAATTAGGAATAAAGCTATAATGAGTGTTGTTTTTAGATTATTTGTCTGAGATGCTCAGGGTAAGGGTAAAAGGAGAGCAATTTCTAAGTTGAAAAGGAGGAATGTAATGGCTACTAAGAAAAATTTTATGGAAAATGGTTCATGTGTTGATCCTATAGGGTCAAACCCACATTCATAAGAACTTGTTTTTTTCTGTGTAAATATTTAATTGGGGAAGTCAGAATGCAATTGATACAATTAGTGAGTGCTATGTTTGTAATTAATGTCAGTATTAGATTTATTATTCTTTTTTGGATTATACTGAAACAAATTGATTGGAAGTCAACTGTACTGTTTAATACTAAAAGAATAAGATCCTCATCAATAAATGAATATGGAAAGGAATAGTCATACTACATCTACAGAATGTCAATATCAGGCAGCAGCTTCGAAGCCAAAATGATGGTTAGATGAGAAGTGATATTTTAATTGATGTAAGAAGCAAATGATAAGGAAAGTAGAGCCGTAATTACATGTAGTCTGTGGAATACTGTAGCTATGAAGAAAGTTGATCCATTTGAAATTGTTAAGGATGTTTCGTAGTATTCTAAGGCCTGTAGACTTGTAAAATGAAAGCCTAGGGCAATTGTAATAAGAGCTTAGAGTATGTGTTTGCAGTTTCCTTCTATGAGGCTGTGGTGGGCTCAGGTAATGGATACCCTTAATACAGAGGTATTAAGAAGTGTTACTTCTAATGGATTTAGGGGACGGATGCCTGTTGGTGGTCAGCATCCACCTAGTTCAGGTGTAGGGGTAAGGCTTGAGTGATAGAAGGCTCAAAAAAAACCAGTAAAAAAGAGGACTTCTGAAATATTAAGATTATTCCATATCGAAGTCCTTTTTGAACAACTGATGTATAATGGCCTTGGGAAATGCTTTCTCGGATGATGTCTCATCATCATTAATACGTTGTTAAGGCCTAGTGATAATGTTGAACTGAAGTGAAATCATGTAATTAGGCCTGATGTTATTATTAGAAGGGCTGAGAGAGCTCCTATAAGGGGTCAGGGACTGGGATTTACTATGTGATATGCATAGGTTTGGTGGGTCATTGTGTATTGTCATGTAGATAAAGACTTACTAGTAAGGTAAACGCTTAAGTTTGAATTATGGCAATGGCGATTTCGAGGATAGTAAGTAATACAAGGATAATAAATGTAATGAGGGCTGTGGTGGTGCTAATATTCAGCAATGCTAGAGTCACTCCTCCAATTAAATGAATAATAGATGTGCTGCTGTGATGTTAGCTGTTAATTGTACCGCTAAAGCTATTGGTTGAGAATGAATAAGCTGATAGTTTGATTACTAGTATAGGAATAAGAGGAACTGGTGCTCCTTGTGGTAGAAAATGAGCTAAGGATGCTTTTGTTTCATGACAAAAGCTTGTAATTACAGTTCCTGCCCATAGGGGAATTGCTATTCCTAGATTTATTGAGTTGTGTAGTAGGTGTAAATGAATGTGGTAATAGTCCTAATAGATTTGTTTTTGTTTGTTTGTTTGTTTGTTTTCTTTTGCGGTATTCGGGCCTCTCACTGTTGTGGCTTCTCCCGTTGCGGAGCACAGGCTCCGGACGCGCAGGCTCAGCGACCATGGCTCACGGGCCCAGCTGCCCCGCAGCACGTGGGATCTTCCCTGACCGGGGCACGAACCCACGTCCCCTACATCGGCAGGCAGACTCTCAACCAGGGAAGCCCCCTAATAGAGTTGTTGATCCAATAAATAAGATGAGTGATATTAGTATTAGTGCTCAGGTTTGTCCTTTGTGATTGTGAATAACTATTATTTGTTTCAGTGTTAGCTGAACTAGTCATTGTTGAATAGAAATTATACGATTATTGATTAGTCGATTAGGTGTTGGGAGTAAAATGCTCGGGAATATGATAATGAAGATAATGATAGGAAGTCCTATTACTGTTGGGATAATGAAAGAGGCAAATAGATTTTCGTTCATTTTGTTTCTCAAGGGGTAGGTTGTTTCTGTATTTTGGTAGACATCAACTCTGGGTTTGAATAATATATTTTGAAATTTTTAGTTGGAATATAATAAATAGGAGTAGAATTATTGATAGAATAATAATAAATCATGTTGCTGTATCCAGTTGTAGCATATCATTAAGGGGAGTTTTAACTCCCAGTCTTTTTTTTTTTCTTAAGGTATTTTTATTTATTTATTTATTGGCTGCATTGGGTCTTTGTTGTTGCTTGAGGCTTTCTCTAGTTGAGGCAAGTGGGGGCTACTTTTTATTGTGGTGCACAGGCTTCTCATTGTGGTGGCTTCTCTTGTTGAGGAGCACGGGCTCTAGGTGTGCGGGCTTCCGTACTTGTGGCGCAGGGGCTTAGTTGCTCCGCAGCATGTGGGATCTTCCCAGACCAGGGATCGAACCCATGTCCCCTTCATTGGCAGGCGGATTCTTAAACACTGTGCCATCAGGGAAGTCCCCCTAACTCCCAGTCCTTAACTTAAAAGGTTAATGCTGTTTAGCTTCTTAATGAATTTATAATATTGATGTGGATCATTTTTCAAAGTATTTTAGTGGTACTAAAATGGGTATAAAACTATGATTTGATCCACAAATTTCTGAGCATTGTCCATAATATAGACCTCATTGTGTTGATATGAGAGTTGTTTGATTTCGGTGTCCTGGAATTGCATATATATTATATCATACATCAGGGGTCCCCAGCCCCCAGGCTGCGGACCGGTACTGGCCTGTGGCCTCTTAGGAACCGGGCCGCACAGCAGGAGGTGAGTGGCGGGCAAGCAAGCAAAGCTTCATCTACCACTCCCCATTGCTCGCATTACCGCCTGAACCATCGCCCCCGCCACCATCCGTGGAAAAATTTTCTTCCACAGAACCGGTCCTTGGTGCCAGAAAGGTTGGGGACCGCTGCCACATGTAATACATTATATGTATAACCGTGCATTAATTAATTACCCCATGCTTATAAGAGTGTATGTTAACCCAGAGGTCCCCAACCTTTTTGGCACCGGGGCCAGTTTCCTGGAAGACAGGTTTTCCACTGTGGCGGGCGGCATGATTCAGGCCGTAATGCCAGCGAGCGATGGTTCAGGCGGTGATGCCAGCGATGGGGAGTGCCTTGCTCTCGTGCTACTCACCTCCTGCTGTGTGGCCCGGTTCCTAACAGGCCGCAGACCGCCGGGGATGTGGGGACCCCTGCATTAACCTGTTGATAGTACATACTACATTATACTTATAATCATGCATTATTTACCCCATGCTTATAAGCATGTACATTATATTATGAATATTACATAATACATAATATTATTAATCGTACATAGTACATTGTTTTATGATTCAGTTTGTATTTGGGCAAAATAATATGTTAATTGTTTTTAAAAAAATCAAATAGTGCTACTAGACTTGTAATAAGAATAAGAAAAACTATACCCTGTTCCTTTTTTCTCCCGATCTCTAATTCCTGTCCCCAGAAAGAATCACTCTCAACTCTTAACAGTGCCTTCTTTTGTTTACTCCGTTTTTCCAAATCATATGTTTATCCTGCTATTATTTGACACTTTTCAGATTTAGATTTTTTATACTATGGAAAATAAGAATTAAACATTCTTACCACCACCAGTACCTCTGATACACATCACTCACACACATAAACTTCTCCTGACTCTTTTCTCAAAATATAAAATCGTCACCATTTTAGTTAAATTCCGATTTAGTTTGTAGTTAAAATATTTCTTTTAAAAGCCTCAATACATTAAAATACCTTAGGTGTGTTGTCAGTTTCATAATTTTCTTGGTGATGCGCTTTCGTGAAGCTATATATCTTTCTGCTCCACGTGAACTGTTTATTCTCTGATATAGAGCTATTGATAAATTCATGGGGCATCTCCTACACATGTACTCCTATTCCTGTTCACCATATGCATAAGCTCCACATGATGTAGTAGTCATCTTTATACCTGGGGAATGTATATTCTTGACCTTTCTGATGGCTCCAAGTATCATTTTGCTATAGAGTGACCTTTAATCTACCTTGTGGGTGCAGATTTCTGAAACTGCAAAACAAACCTTGTTTAATGGCTTTTATTCTCTTCTCCAGCTCTGCCTTCTCAGGCCCAGTCCACTCTCAGAAAGAAAAGGAAATGACTGAGTTGCAGGTAAATTTTAAGTAGTATATTTGTTCCCTGCCTTATTTTACAGTGCAGTTTAAGGGAATTGCAGTAATCTGTACACTAAATTGGAAAATCCTGTACAGATAAAACATATTTTCAGAGGAAACAGAGTTGGAAGATTAAGACCAGGAAAGAGTTAAAATATGATTATGCAGAAATGCTTTCATTCAGAGATTAAAGTTGGGCTTCAATTTTGAATTTCATTATAATAGGTAAACAAGGGCAGAAATTCATTACATAATTTGCATTGTTCATAAGGATAAAAATGAACATTTATTAGCAGAAGTAAGTTTTTCATTGGCACCTAGGTCAATGAATACATTGTAGTGAGACTTCCCATAGTTGGTAAACCCAGCTTTTCTAGTGGTCTTTTTTTTTTTTTTTTTTTTTAATAATTTTAAAGTCTTGGCCATGCCACATGGCTTGCAGAATCTCAGTTCCCCAACCAGGGGTTAAATCCGGGCCACGGCAGTGAAAGTGCCGAATCCTAACCACTAGACTACCAGGGAACTCCCCACTGATGGTCTCTTTTGATCGAGGATAAGGCAAAGAATATATGTCAAAATAGCCCAGCATTGGAAAGAACGCAAATCAACATCAACAGAAAATGGAATAAATTATAGTATTTCATGCAATTGGACACTATACACATAAACACACACACACACACACACACACACACACACACACTCCCCAAAGCAGATTACTGCTACTTATAACAACATAGATAATCTCACAAACATGTGTCATAAGAGAAGTCAGAAATGAGAATACATTCTATGTGATTCCATATATATGAAGTTAGAAAACTAATCTCAGTGATAGAAAATAGTGGTTACCCCTGAAGGGGTATTTACTGGGAAGGGACATGAGGGAATCTTCTAGTATGCTGAAAATGCTCTGTATTTTGACCTGAGTGGTAGGTGCACAAATACATAAATGTATAAAAATGTCTCAGTTTGTACACTTAAGATTAATGCATTTTACCACATTATTCTATGATTTCATACCTTATTTTTAAAAAAACTAGAATATCTGAAGAAATAGATGGGATGTGTCTTTCAAATGACCCTATGTAATTATCTTTTTCCATGTGTGTTTGCTGAGATTCAGCCACAGTCTGAAGTAATCATTTATGGTAAATTCTTATAATTTTAGTCCACTAGAATGTGAACAAAGAGTATGCTTTATTTGGTTTACTGCTGTATCTCCAGCCCCTAGAACAATGCCTGGTATATGTGGTTTTTGTGAATGTTTGTGGTTTTAATGAATTGAATCCATGGTTCCTTATTTCTTCTTCATTTTACTCTTAGAATAAGTAATGCCTGTCTCCTCTTCAAGGACATTTCCTTTTCCTCAGAACTTCATCCTTTTTCTTCAGACTTCTTTTGGAATCTTTCTCTTTCAGATTTATCCTGCACTCTTAGCTACTGAACAAATCTCACTTTGCTGCCTTTTCACCCTTAGCTCAAAGCTTTGCCATACTGAGATATGCCTTTCTTTGACCAGGTGCCCCTATCTAACAGCTTCTCTGTATCTCTAGTTTTTTCCTCAGTTAATTTTCAAAGTGAATACGTGTTTAACCAGCATAAGCACTGGATCAAGAAATGGAATATTACACTAAGACCCATTAGACTCCTGCACCTTTCCCAGTTATTACCCTCACCCCAGGGGTAACCACTGTTCAGATTATATCACTATAGATTATTTATGCCTATTTTTAAACTTTATGTAACCTATATACTTTGTGTCTGACTTCTTTTGCTTAATATTTTGTTTGTCAGATTCATGTTGAATCATTGCATGTAAGTAGTTTACTTAACCTTACTACTGTATATTATTTAATTAATGTGAATAAACCATAATTTTATGTATCCATTCTATTACTGATAGGCATTTAGGTAGTTTTTATTTGGGAACAATTAAAATATTGTTCCTATGAATTTTCTTGTAGGTTTTTGTTGTACATATGTACATATTTCTTTCTATCAAAGTAGAATTTCTGAGTCATAAGTTATGTTTAAGATTACCTTTTATTGATACTGCCAGTTTTCCAAAGTGATTGTCCAAAATTGTACTCTTAACAGTGTATGAGAGTTCTGATTACTGCAAGACAACCATCCTGAGTGTATTTTCTGCAGTCACTAGCTGTTTTTTTGGCATAATATCAAACTCATAGGCAGTAAAAAAAGAAGCTCAACTAAATTTGAGTACATAAAAATTATATTCTCCTATTGATACCATCACCATAAAGTAAATTGGCAAAACTTGACAATAATCTTAGTAATACATATGGCAGACCCAATCTGGTGTTTAAATACATATTTACAAACCAAATTAAAATCCAATAGAAAACTGCATATAGGACATGAAAAAGAAATCCACAGTTGAAAAAGTAAGAACAAATGCCCGATAAAAATTGTAATTAATAATAAAAACTAATCTCTACTGTTAAACTTTTACATCGATTACCTCATATAGACTTCATAAAGAATCTTCATTTTTTTTTCAGGAGTTAAGAAACAAGCATAGAAAGATTAAGAAATTTGCTCAAGGTCATAGGTAAAGGATGTAGTAGAATCAGGATTTAGTCCCAGGTGGTGTAACTGTGAAGCCTGTAAACTTAACCACAGTCCTGTATGACCTCAGCCTCACTCATGATTAATGAAATGCAAATAAAATGATTTTCTAAAATAATCATCAGATTAGTCCAGTTTTTCATCATATCTCAAATCTGATCACTTGTCAACATTTCCATGGCTCTTGTAACCCAGGCCGTATCATCTCTTACCCGGAAGTACTTCAGTAACTGCCTGTTAATCTCCCTGCATACATTCTTAACCATCTGTAGTCCATTCTCCAGAGAACAACTGAAGTGATAATTTAAAAACCTGAGGTGTTAACATCTCTGCTTAAAATCATCTAATGGCTTCCCATTAGAAGCCATTCTTGGAATAAAATCCAGGTTTCTTGTTGTCCTTTACAAAACCCTTCATGATATGCCTTCTTCCTATGTCTTTACCATTATCTTTTGCTACACCCTCCCTCATTCACTGTCTTTCAGTGATACTAGCTTTTCCCACACTTGGAACAGACAAAGTTTATCCCTTGGGGCACTTTGAACATGCTAGTAAAGCTACTAGAAAAGACTAAAGTCCCAACTCAAACAGCTCCCCTCTTACTCAGTTCTATTCAGATCTTCGATTGATTGGATGAGGCCTACCCATATTAGGGAGGACGATTTGCTTTACTCACTTTACTGACCCAAATGTTAATCTCATGTAGAAATACCCTCACAGACACACCCAGAGTAATGTTCAGCCAAATGTCTGGGCAACCTGCGACCCAGTCAGGTTGACACATAAGATCAACCCATTACACGATCTTATTCTATCTTACCTATTTACATGTTTATGTTTTCATTTGTTTCCCTCAACTAGTATGTAAGTTCCAGGAGGACCAGAACTTATGTCTGTCTTACAGCTATATCCTTAGGCTCTAAACCAGTGCTGGGCACATCTAGTAAGTTGGTAACTTACTGAATAAAAAACCATAACTCCAGGGCTCAAATAAGAATTATTTTCTCATTCTCTTTAGAGGCAGTTAATATTCATAATGAAAACCTCAACTACTATGAGACCCTCAAATAGTCTCTGAGCTGTCAGAAAAAAAAGTTTCAATTGTTTAATTCTCCTGTTACACTACTTTAACATATAGGGGAAATAGAAGAGTTGAGATTTAGGAGGTATTGGTGAGACTGAGTCAAATGAACTTGTTGACACATAGTACCTAGGTGTTGAGGAAGAGGTAGGAATCAAAACTTGTGCTACAGGGCTTCCCTGGTAGTGCAGTGGTTGAGAGTCCGCCTGCCGATGCAGGGGACACGGGTTCGTGCCCTGGTCCGGGAAGATCCCACATGCCGCGGAGCGGCTGGGCCCGTGAGCCATGGCTGCTGAGCCTGCGCGTCCAGAGCCTGTGCTCCGCAACGGGAGGGGCCACAACAGTGAGAGGCCCACGTACTGCAAAACAAAACAAACTTATGCTACAGTTCCATTTTTCAGAAAAGGTGTTAGTGTTGCCATTAATCAAGATAAGAAAGTTAATAGCAAAAATTGCTGAATATTATATCTCCTCAAAAACCTGATATGGAATAGGTAATGGTACCTGAAATAGTGAACTACCAATGGCAAACTACTAACTGGATTCTAGGTAGTAAATAAACATATGATAATTAGAAAAGCAAAATTTCCTGTTAGAAAAGACTATATTTTTACAGTCTGTCAAAAAATCCAGGATTCATGAAAGAATCTCATCATTTTCCTAGCTGTCCCCTTTTCTATTGAGAATGATTAACTCTTAAAAGAGAATTTAAGAGAATATTTATTCCAACATTTTCATTTTATAGATGGGAAGCTTTTGACCCAGAGAAATTTGAAACATTGTTTAAGTAAAGCCATATCAATGCAGTTTAAAAGAAAGAAAAAAGGCTATTTGTTAATATCAGGTACTATAAAATTCAAGACAGTGAGCTTTATTTTTTTATTGAAGTATAGTTGATTTACAGTGTTGTGATAATCTGTGCTATATAGCAAAGTGATTCGGTTATACACATATATACATTCTTTTTTTTAATATTCTTTTCCAGTATGGTTTATCCCAGGAGATTGGATATAGTTCCCTGTGCTATATAGTAGACCTTGTTGTTTATCTATTCTAAGCGTAATAGTTTGCATCTGCTAACCCCAAACTCCCAGCCCACCCCTCTCCCCCCCTCCTCCCCCTTGGCAACCACAAGTCTGTTCTCTGTGTCTGTGAGTCTGTTTCTGTTTGGTAGATAAGTTCATTTGTGCTATAGTTTAGATTCCACATATAAGTGATATCATATGGTATTTGTCTTTCTCTTTCAAACTTCACTTAGTATGATAATCTCTAGTTGCATCCATGTTGCTGCAAATGGCATTATTTCATTCTTTTTTATGGCTGAG